CCTGAAAGTGCGCATCAGCATCACAGAGACGCCCAAATTGAGGAGCCCGAGCATCATTGGCAAGGCTTCATCTCTATAGCTAATCTTTGGAGGCGCCCTGCTGACGTGACACGCGCAGTCTATCAGTGAATCTGCCATGGTTCCTGCATCTTGAGCAACTTGTGCAGTTCTTCCGCTTACACTAGTCCGTTACGATCGGTGCGGCCAAACAATAGCGCAAAGTATGCGGACGCGCACTTTTTGACGGATGGCTCAAATCGTAGCGGGATCCATCGATGTCCGGATCGGATAACTGACCGGACATCGGAGACATCTGCTACGGGCAGGTATGCGGACGTCCGGCGGGCCAATAAGGTTCGGCCGGACATCGGTTTGGGCTTTGCGGAGTGTATGCGGCCAAAAGATCATAGCCAGAAGCACGGAGCGATGGATACCCGCCCCGGGGAAACCGAAGCCAAAGTCCAGAATCCAGAGCCAATCCGAGTGCATTAGGGTCGCGGAGAAGAACCCTGAAACGCCGGAAATTTAGAGATCGAGAATTCGGACTCAGGAGAGTAAGTACCGCGCGGAGGTACGGAGAGCAGCTGCCAGGGGACAACGACTTCGTCATCAGGATTGAGGCCAAAAGTGGACGGATCCTTGCTGCGGCTAAGTCCATCCGCGGTTGTATTACAGAAACCCGGGACGTGCTCAATGAAGGTTGACACGCAAAAATGACGCTGCCACAGGAAATAGGAGATGAGAAAGGCGCACATGCCGCGTGCCATCGAAATACCTTTCCAAGCGGCCGAGTCGGAGGGGCTGTTGTCACAGCGACTGGTGAAGTGGACCGGGTGGTGGGCGGCCGGAATCAGAAGGGCGACGCACCAAAGCAGGGCAATCTGGCCAAAAAGCTCCCAGGCAGCAATAAACTTTTGAGGCGAAGTGTGAGGTGGAAGCCACGGGAACATGTCGCGAAGCTGAGCGACGGAAAAGGACGCACGGAACCAAACGGTGCGAGAGTTGGGCAGGCGGACGAAGCCACCAAGCCCCACGTGATGCGAGTCGGCACAGGCATCAGCAAAAGCCTCGCAGGGGAAGAAAGGATCCAGTGCAAGCGGAAAGCGAGGGATATCACCCAGGAGGCAGGACTCCCAGAGACGCAGAGCTTCTTTAGATTCCGGCGATAGTTTGCGGGCCGAGTCGGCAGGCATGCGAACTGAAATCCAGACACGGCGCTCACCCGGAAAATATTGAGGAACCTGCGGAAGGCCAGATACTTCTTTCTGGGCGACGGATATCAAGGTACACCCTTTGGGACAGCTGGCAATGCCGATCTCGCGCAAGAGCAACAAGTCAGCGGATAAACTTGAACGGAACAAAGACCACTTGTCCGGACCGAGGGCCACGTGGACCACGGGCGGAAGGCTTTGATCCTTGTAAAGAGGGGCCAGCGACGGCCGGAAAGCTCGGAACAAGGAACACACCCATAAAAGTTTACCAGTCAGCTTGCGGAGCTGAGTAAGCGGCAAGGATTCCAAATCCAAAGAGGATCGGAGAAGAAGGCGCAGACGGGCCAACTTGGACGGTTCCATAGTGGCGGTGAGGCTATGGAGACAAAGAGACCAGCCTATCCAAGTTGGTCGAGAGCCAAGGTAGGCTTTATGCCAGCTCATCGGAACCCCGGATGACCAACAGAAGGATACACATTAACGCGGCCCAAACCGGAGCGGAAGGGCCGGACAGTAGGGAAATAAGGTCATCCACATATATGAGAAGGGCGTGGCGGACGTAAACCAGCCGGTGCAGAAGGCGGGATAGCAGGCCGGCCATCCGGGCCCAGTAAAAACCGGATGCGCCGGCACCGAAATTGAGAGTGAGGCACTGATAGAGGACCTCACGATGAAAGAAGCAAAGGAGGCCGCGGTCCGACGGACGGATAAGGATACGGCGATGCGCCTTACTGACATCTAAAATGAGAGCAAATAAGGCTTCAAGAGCAGGCCGGGCCGGAGCACAACGCCGCAAGCCGGAGATGGTAGGGTTGGCGGATTTGTTGGGAAGGGAAGTGCGGTCGGTAACCCCGGAAACGCTGCTGTCAACCACTAACCGGGGGTCACGGTCGGGAGCCTTCACGAGACCCAGCTTACCAACTGCACTTCGGGAATAGTTAGCTTTTAGAGCAGCAAACCCGCCAGGGACCGGCTGGACCCAACCTTCACGAATCTCCGAATCCAGGAGGGAATCCACGGTTTGAGGATCAGAAAGAGCGGAGCCCCATGCAAGCAGACTCACAATGCTGAAGTGGGACCTTGGGAGACACAGGTGCGGAGGGCGGAAAAAGTGCGGGACAAGAGGACATGGCTTCATCAACCCCCAGCGGAACGCCCTCGACCAACAGGTCAATGAATGATATGTCCGGGTCCCTGGAAACCTCCAGCAGGGCTTCGAGCAAGAATAAACGGAAGGGTTGGCCAGGAGGAACACACAGGAGGGTTTCGAACTCCTTCTCGGATAACCTCAAAAAGGATCGCAGGTCCTCAAGGAAGGGACGTAAGTCAACATCAGACAACGGAGGGTCTTTGGAGCCGGACGCCAGGTTTGCACGGAATTTCCCGAGGAATTCCGGACGGGTAATTCGCTGCATCCAGGCCTGACGCAGCAACCTGAAGGAATCCTCCCCTTGAGGCACGGACCAGGATCCGGTAGAGCAAGACCCAGCACCGTCCTCGACCCGAGAAGCTGGGATAGGCCAGTGCAGCTTTGGTGCCAGGAGACGCGTTTCCCAGCTCAGAAACGGAATCACTCCCACATGTCGCGAAAGCAGCGGGTCGAGGATGGAGGCCAGGCGTGAACACAGAGATGCAGGGTAACACGCAGTATGCCGGGTGAGAAACTGGCCGGAAGAGTCACGGCGGCCAGAGATGGGGGAATGAACGCCTTTGGGATGTTGGCAAGAAGACGCGAGGCCGGACAGGTCTGAGAGGTTGGAGACAAAAGTCCATGATTTGAAAACATCCAGGCCGTGATTGCAGGCGGCAACCTCCACGGCGGAAAGGCAGTGATGGCGAATCCAAGACGTGCAGCTCGGGTGATGCCAGAGCAGGCTTGTGGACGGATTTTCCAAGATAGCAATGCCCCCATTGATAAGAACGAGAGAGAGCAGTTCACGCGTGAAACTGTGGAGGCGGTCCGAAACCTCAAGTTCAGACTGCTGCTTAGGGCTGGGTCTAGGGATTCCCTGGGGGTATTTAGGGGTACGGACCGGCGCGGGTCCCCCAAAACGCAAGCGAGCCCGACTAAAGCTGGAGCAAGGAGGGCCAGCACAAAGTACGCGAACCAGGCCGGAGCAGCAGAGGCGCTTGAGGGATTCCTGATGGACTGCATCCAGAACGTCAATCTGTTCACCGAATAAGGCATCCACCGGGGCGATACGGTCACAGCCCAGATCACCGAGTGCCTTGCTGAGTGGGGCGGCCGCACCTGAGAACAAATCGAGGAACAGGGCCGGAAGAGGAGCGGTTGGCTCCGGGCATGTGGGGGCGGGCTGGGGGGCGGAAGCGGGTGGAGCGGTGCCCGCCTCACGCCCAGCACACGGGTGGGGAGCGCTGCCGAGTTTGCGTCCCAAAGGAATGGAAGGCCGGACATAAGAAAAGGAGTAGCCCAGCTTGGGCCGCTTTGGTGAGCGCGATCGTTGCAAGCCAGGTTGGCGAAAAGACGGTTGGCGCGCAGCGGTCTCAACCTCAGCAACGGAGCCATCAGAACTTGAAGAGTCCACAATACAGGCTTCATCAACCGTTTGCGCAACAACGGCACTGTCCACGGAAGGCGGGGCGGGAGCTGCCAGCCTCATCGCCAGCGGGGAATTTCAGTGGGCCATCGACTTATGTTTCGAGGCGGTATGATGTTGCCCACAGGGTTTACCGGTCGGAAGTGGAATAGGGCACGAATGGGCGAACCGGCACGAGGACAGCTTGCACCGGCCAAGCACGAAACGCCGGCATATCTCTTTTCCATTGACATCGACGGAGTGCCACGACTCATCCCACAGTTCGGACACAGGTCGACGGCCACCGGCAGGGGCTTTAGGGTTGGCCTTACCCTTAGGGGTCGGAGGGTCCTTACGCGGTTTCTTAGGGGGGCGGTCCGAATTATCGGCACGGTCGCTTGCCGCATTGGCTGCACTCCGAGGGTTGGAGTCGCGGACAGGCGGAGCAGACATGGACCTGGGCCGGGGGCAGAGGACCGTGGGGATCACGTGCCTAGTGACGGTGATCTCCTGCAGTGCATCCGCCAGTGAAAATTTCTCATCCCTCATGAGACCAGCTATGGCACCCCAGACCGCCTTGTCAGCGGCGAGAACCTCCTGCATGGAAGGGGGGCGGAGCGACGGGTCCAGTGGAGCAGCCGTGGCGGCGGCAATGAAACTTTCGGCGTATGCTTTGCCGAGCTTGAGGTGAAGATCGCCCAAGAAAGCCAGGGCAGTGATGAGGAGACCGAGGTGTCGCCTCAAGGCCGGTTCCACCGGACCAGACGTGTGTGCAGGGGCCTGAGCAGTAACGGGTTCGGGGACACCATCAAGCAAGTGCCGAAGGAGCTGGCCATCTGAGCGGGGCCGTCGGTTCTCGTAAAACGTCTGCAGGTCATGCTCAGATGTGCGCAGGCGCCACGGCACCCAGAGAGTGGTAGGCTTGTCCAATTCGGCCCGGAGTCGGTTCAGAAACTCAACGGAGGGTGTGGAAGCAGGAGACAGCAATTCTCCAGGATACGAGTCAATAAACTTGGCACGGAGGGTTTCAGCATTCTCGGCCGTGATCTTGGGCGGGGGCACGGACGGGATGGTAGCCGCGGCCGGGCCAGCCGAGGACGCTGGTGGATGCACCAAATCACGGGACTGGACCAGAAGACGACGGGCAAAGGATGCCTCCGGTGTAACCAAAGTCGTAGGGTTATTCGGGTCGGAGGGTGGCCACAGCACGCGCAGAAAGTCATCCGGGCTGCCATCCCCCGGAATGGCATAGGCAATAGAAGCAATGGTGCGGAACCCTTTCGCGACCAGCAGCGGATGGAGAGTATCCGGAGCAGTCCATTTGGCAAGCAAGGCGGACAAGGCCAACGGATCATCAAAAGCAGGCGGGGCGGACGACATATCCGCACAAGTCCAAAGAATCCCAATACAGTCTACAAAGTGGGCCTGAAGCAGTAAATGGCTGCGGCAGAGCAATCAGAACAAGAGAGGTCAGAAACACGCAAGCCAACGGCAAACGCGGACTGGACCCTTTTGTTCGGCATAGCAGTACCATGCGTCCACAGCAGGCCGGGAAGGACCGGGCCGGAACAGCGGCGAGGTCGGAGGCGGGCCGGGCTCACCAGCCAAAGCGGTGGCAGATGCGGCACGCATGGCTGGCGTGACCCCGCCTGCGGGTGGGGTCAATGCGGCGACCACAAGCTTGATTGCAGTCGGGATTGGTGCAGGGCTCCTGGCAGTAGATCACCTCTGGCTCGGCACGGACGATGCGGACGCAAAGTCGGGCGAGACGAGTGAGAAAGGCAACAGAGCAGCGGCGGAGAATCGTGGTGATTTCGGCATCAGTGAGATCTTCCAAATCCCGAAGGTCCAAAGCGGCCGGAAGCAGCAGCGCGCCAGTAGCATCGGCAGCCGGGCGGGGCGGGAATCCAGGGTAACCATCGGATCCACGCGCGGAGCCCTGGGCCGAGGCGGAATCACGCGAGGCACGATCAGCCATGATTTGTCGCAAAGGGCAATAAGCAAGGCGGGGCGAGCGAGAAAATGGCTGCGGACAAGACACACAAGGTAATTGCAAGCGTGCGGTGCTAGCATGGGTGAACAAGCGGTCAGCACATTTTACTCTGAACAGTGCAGTGTCACGCGGGGCGACAGGCACGTCTGAGACACGTTTGTGCCCCAGGAGGGGCGGCAGGGCACCAGGCATCTGAGGTAAGTTGCCCCACGGAGGCGCCACACGCAGGTTTTACCCAAAAGGGCTCCAGGCCGGAGAGCCGAACGCAGACCGACTTAGCAGCATGAGCCTCACATGGAAGCGGGCGGTGCAAGATGTTGCTGCGGGGATTATGCAAGAACCCTTTTAGGGGCAACGGGCGGGGCTTAGCAGTCGAGTTCGGGGCGGGTTCTTCAGCATCCGAAGCAGAGACCACCGAATCCTCAGAATCCGAGCTGTCGTCGGAGAGATCTGTGTCGGTGGAATCATTGCGTGAGGCCGCAGGGCTGGGGGGAGGAGTGCGTGACCGGGCCGTGTAATCTGAAGCGGGACCAGGAGACAAATGTCGGTCCGGGGGGGGCAAGGTTACAGGAAAGTCCGGAAGGGGGTTCGCGGAACCTCTGGCAACCGGCTGAAGTGGCCTGTACCCGGACCGAATTCGATTAATAACCTCGGCTTGCAGAGACAACATGGGCCCCACATCATCGCGACTGTAGATACGGACGGATCCTTCAACAGTACTGGGGCGGTGGTGACCTTGCAACCTGCGTAGTTCAGGATCCAAATTGAGCTGCCGGGCCCAAGAAAGGACAGTAGCTTTGCAACTGTGCACGCCGTACAGGGCATGTTCAGAAGGCGGGGCGGTGTCAGTGTTAGCCCTCCAGTGTTCATCAAGCAAAGACCGAAGCCACGGCATGGCGCGAGAGCGGTGGAGAGGGGCGACAAAGACCGGAGCCGCGGGGTCGGCGCTAAGGACAGGAAGCAAGAAATCCACCACACGGCCCGAGAAGAGGCGGGACGTGTTAGCACAGCACTGCTTCAGGGCGGTAAGCCAACAGAGGCCCCAGCAGCAAGAGGACGAGCCAGTGAAGCCAATCAAGAGGCACCCCCACGGCATCGAGGCCCGAGAAGACTTAGTGCGGGTGGCCAAACCGGACAGGGCCGCGGCACCCGATTGAAGGACCACGCGGGACGGAGGAGACCACAGGGCGTCATTCCAACGGAGCGAGGACCAGATGGTACACAGGACGGCCCCGATGACAATCACCTCAGTCGGACTAGTGTTAGGGTCAGTGACGCGGCGCTCCAACCACGCGACAAATGACACGGAGAACGGAAGGGCCTCTCTCTTTTCGACAGGGCCGGTTGCGGTCAGGAAGGCGGTACACAGCGGGGTATGCAGCTGAGCCTGAACCGAGGGTAAGCCGGCAACGCGAGCCATCCAACTCAGAGCTTTGAACGAGACGGTTGAAAGCCCAGACGGTGCGGATGTTGCATGAAGCCAGTGTGGCAAGGCACCGGGCGGCGGGTCGGACGGGTCGAAGCCGGAGCGGCTAGCATGCAAGACCCAGGCGGACCAGGAACGCAGGTATAGTTGGAGTGTCCTCGGAGCGTTTCGCGCGATAGCGCGGGTACGCATTTCGCGTGGATTCGGAACGGCTTTAGTGTGCAAAAACAAAGTGGACCGGTCACCCAAATCATGAATCATGTCACAGAACATGCTGCGAAAGTGCGTTAGGGCTCGCGTTGCGGACTCAGCCATGGACTCGGACTCCGAGCCGGACGCGGAGACCGGAAGGAAACCTCGGTGCACAATGGGGCCAAGGGCAAGCAAGTCTCCAGCAGAATTGACCACCGCGACCGTTGCAGTGAACCTGGCCAGGGCGGCACGGGTCGGACGCCGAAGGGGGGAAAGCGAAGGGGGAGGAGCGCAGAAAGGACCCAAGCCAGTCGCAAGCACGGGGGCACGGCGGAGTGGCTCAAACCTAGGTGCAGGCAGAGGGCAGGCCGCGCCAGTGGAGATGACATGGGTTTTATGGCGCACAAGGGAAGCAACACTGGCCGGAAGCGCATGCGATGACAATTCCAAGGCCAGGGACGGAACCGCAACATCCGCAAGTCCAGGAAGAGGGACGTCAGAGCAAGAAGAAACCCCCGACGGCGGGATCACAAGGAAGGAGCCGGCTGATGAGGAGTCCGGGCTGTCAACCGGCAATGCAGGTGTAACGCCCCTGGGCGGGGATAGGGCAGGCGGACCCTCAGCAATGCAGGCAGGCGAGCGGCCAGCAGGACCGCGCAGGAGCACAGATAAGGCAGGGACGGGCAAGGCCGCCGGGGCCCCACCGGGCTCACGAGCAGGTACCTGACAGGAAGAAACATGCAACAAGAACATGCTAACAAGTAAAGCGGGCACAGAGGAGAAGAACAGCCTGCCTGCTCGTTCCCGGACACCTGACAGGCAGCAAATGAAAGAAAACAATAGCAAGAATGCATGCTGCGGAGCGAGGCGCACAAGAAGCACGCGGGAAGCTATTTTTCCCCCCAAGGCGCGGCGAGCATGCGGCAGGCCGACCGGAAGAGGCACGGCAGCGTGCAATGATCCAAGACGGGCCGGGGCTCAAGTACCTATATAATAGGCTAAGGTTAGGGCCGGGCAGGTAAATTAGCGGATCGGGGCGGGGCATGGGCCGGCCGATCAGAGCCCGTCAAGGACACAATACGGACACTTGTGTCCGGTGTGTTCGGTCCGGCTGTGCAACATTACCGGACGGAGACAACAACGCAGGCAATTCGGGCCGCGTGC